TCTCTCTCTTCTCTCGTTTCTCACATTTAAATTAAAAAATTAATCAACTTTATAAAAAGCATAATTTGATTATAAATAAGCATAAGTGGAAATTGTAAATAAAATAAAATATTTTTCATATATTTTAATGAATAAAACTAATTTGATCAATAGATAAAAATTTATTTATAATTCAAATTTCAAATTAGCATAATAAATTGCTATAAATATATCACAAACCTATTAAATCCCATATAGTATTATTTAATAACATGACTTTAAATTCACAATTTTATGCTAAAAATAGGTTATTATTACTAAAATAATTTACATATACTGTAATCTGTGATACTATTTATGCAAACAATGGACAAAATAATGGGATTTATTATTATGATAATTTATCATTGATAAAATTCAAAAATATGCTATCTAAGGAAAAATCAAAATAAATTTAGGTTTTTAATTTAAACCCTTTATATTTAAATATTAATTTAAATTATTTAATTATCAAGTGGTTAATTAATAATATCTGATTATCTACTTATCTGTAAATCATTATCTATAATATTAAATAAATAAATTAAATCATGTTCATAAATCACAATATTTTATAGGTGGAATAGATTTTATTATATGTCTATTTATAATTCTGACTTGATCATTAAATAAATTTTAAAATGTAACAACGCCGAAATAATTGGTAATTTATAAACCATTATAATCAGTAATAACCACAAAAATATTACACACAATTAAATATTACAAATTAAATATTTTATTTATAAAATAGCAAGTAAAGTAAAATAATTTATATACAGTATTGTATTTATAATAAAGAAATGTTACGGTATTTTAACCCAAAAACTTCAAGTGGACATCAAAAACAAGTCAATACATCCCATATTTAACAGTAAATTAAATATTTGATTGACTTTCTAATGGATTTACAGTACTTTTCATACTATCGTGGTTTATGTTGGGGTTATGAGGGGTACACAGTGTGTCCATAATAGCGTAAAAACTCATTATTATGTTGGTATTAATAGAAATAAAATGATATTATTTCTAACATAAAAATGAAAATTTTAAACTTCTTTGACACTAAAAATAAAGGAGTGTTTTTGTCGTTAAGAAATTATACAAAATAAGTGGAAAATTGTCATAATTTTTGCCTAAATTAATGTCAAGGGATAATGACCTAAAATTGTGCGGACAGTTGCCTACCAGTGCCTAACAGTTCGGTAATGGACATGTATTTTGTGTGATGTGATTATGGTTATTATCATGTGTTTGTTTGTTTCTCTCCACACGTGTGCACACATTTGAAAAAGTGTTTGAAAATAGTGTTTTTGATAATTAATTAAATGTTTTATTATGGTTACTAAAAATATACATAAATATATCGCATATAGTGTACTAAAAATAAAAGATTGTCACAAATTTATCCAAAAACATACTCTGTTTTCACTATTTATTTCCGCGTTTATACTATTATTACAGAAACATTTATTTAATTTCTGGGAAAATGTTTTATTTTTTGAATAAAATATGTATTTTACTATTTTTAGTATTTCACGACGATAGACAATCGCACCGACATCTAAGTTACACACCCCTTATGTCCACTACCCCTCCCTTTTCCTAAGATAAAACATAATCCTATGGCTATTTTAATGGGAGTGTATATATCAGTCCATAATTGGCCAGAAATAGGTCTGCAAATATGTATTTTAGTTTAAATCACTTTTACTTTAATATTGTTTTGTCGGAAAACATATAAATGTGATTTTTATGTTATGTAATCATGATTACATATCAAAATAAAATTACTATTTTAGTTAATTGTTTTTACAATTCACTATATAAGTAAAATTCACACAAAAATATTGTCTCAAATGTCGTTCAATTGTTGATCAAAACGGACTTTTTTTTATAGCGAGTGTTCAATTATATTGAATTATTGTATGCAAAAAATGAGTTAAACTTTTAAAACAAATATTTAAAACATAAAAGTGTTTCTTAAATAATAGATTTTAATTAAAGTGCGATTTTTAGTAATTAGTTAAACAACTATAATAATCAATTACAATGCGTATAACAATCACCCTGGTAATATTGATGTTTTGTATGGTGTGTGATGAGATGTACCGGTGCGAGGGGTACAGCGGTCACCATTTCAAGAAGCACCTTGTACGTTTTGTCTTCAGACACAAACACTATCTGAAAAAGAAGGGGGCGGTCGCCGGCGCCGCAGCCCTGGCCGCAGTCGCCACCTCGAAAAAGAAAGTGATCCCGGTCCCTTTCCCGTTACCCATACCGTATGTATTGATGCAATTTTGTTATCATATTAATGAAATTTGTTGTCTTATTTTATTTTAATAAATTAGCAACTTATTATTATTTTATTAATTTTGTTTACTTTAAAACAATTAATTACATTTTATTTGGCCATAGGATTATTCACCAGCCAGTTATTCACGACCCACTGTTAACGTTGAAGTACATTAAGCAAGCTAAATTCCATAATCTTGGTGTTGGTGGATTACATGGAGGTATTGGTGGCTTTGGCTAAAAATACATATAAGAATAGCAGCTAGGTGCTGAGATGCTAATAAACTGAGAAAGATTCCATTGAAAAGGAAAATCCTGGCAAAAGTAATTTTGTAAATATTTAAATTCATTCATCATGATAATTTGCAATTGTCTTATAAACTAAACATTACGTACCTATACAAATCATAACGTTAATTGTATTTTGTAATGTTTAAATTACTGTTTGTCTTTGTGCATGTATTTTTAATGTAAATATAATTTGTGTTATTGTAAATGTATTGTCCACTCCATACCCCTTCAATGTGATACACGTCTGTCATTTGTGACACAATTGTTACATCGATGATGTTATTAATGAATTATTATGTAATCATTTATAATTGTTTTATTACTAAATGAATGTCTAGTCCTTTATAAAGAAATGTCAAAATGTTATAAATGTTATCGTCATGTATTGTTTTGTGAAAACATTGCCCAATAAGTTAGACATTAACAAAGTTTACATTGAAAGGGGGGTTAAGTATTGTAGAATTGGAAGGGAGGGGTTGTTTTCCGGACATGATAGTTATTAATTATGCCCTTATAACTTTGTAAATGTTTAACTAAACTGGTCAATTTCATTTAATTTCATGTAAATAATCTAAAATTACCTCGCTCCCACTAATTATAATAAAGTATCTAATCCATTTAATAGATTTAACCTTACTTATATTTGTGTTTTGGGTAAAATAATGTTTTAATTCTCTATGTATTGTACATTTATATTCATGTTAATTGTATTATTTGTTCTTAAAACTACCAATATATTTGTGATCGTGCAATAATTTTCATGTTTGATTCATAATTTGATATATTTTCTTGATTAAGTAATAATACAATAGTTTTAAATACAAAACATAAAATTATATAACATTCACTTCATTTAATATATCCCTAAAAAATATATCCCTCTAGTATTCGCTGTACAATGGATGTAGAGGTACAATGTATGGTAGAGGCATTACGGGATATATTTTTTAGGGATATATTAAATGAAGTGAATGTAAATGTTTTTCATTGATCAAATCTCAAATTGTAACAATTTTGCGAAAAGTGCTTGATAAGTTTATCGCACAACAGATAGCACGTACAAATAATTTTTATAAATGTCCATTCATGTTGTGTAGGAAATGGGATTATATAAGATTGTGTTAACACTTTTGTATACTTATGTAAATAATATATTTCCTAATTAAAACATTTAAATGATTTTACTAAATAATTAAATTCTAATACATTTATATGTATTTATTAAGATCTATGTAAACTTTCTTATGATTTTATATTAAATAAATTTTTATTCTTAATTACATTCAATAATTATCATAATTGAAAATAAATAAATAAATATTTTAGCAATTTTAGCAATATATTATGTTATAAATTAATATAATTAATATATTTTTCGAGAGGGGTACAGCGGTCACCATTTCAAGAAGCACCTTGTACGTTTTGTCTTCAGACACAAACACTATCTGAAAAAGAAGGGGGCGGTCGCCGGCGCCGCAGCCCTGGCCGCAGTCGCCACCTC